GTTGCTATGGGTTAAAAACAACTCAGCAGGAACTAACAATAACTTTTCTCCCAGCTAAAATAAGCCCCTTCGGAATCTGGCTCATTGTGGGTTTTAACTGATGGACTGGGGAGATGCTGAACCTCAGCTTCTTAGCTACAAAGTGACAGAGCTGGAGAAAGTGGGCACACAACGATGTTCACAGTGGCAGTGACCCTGCCAGGCAACCTTCGTAGCTCTTTACCTGGCTGGTCTCATGCAGCACTCGAAAGACCTCCTGAGGAAGTTGTTGTTGTTGTGTGCAATTTAAACATGGGGAAGCTGAGGCACAATGTAGCTACGATCGTATTTACAAAGCTAGGTTTGAAACCCAGGTAGTCAGGCTCCAAAGCCACATTTGCAGACACTGGGATATACGGCAAGATCCTTAGGTGGTGCTAATGGCCTCTGCTCGACTGCTAACCTAAGTTAGAGTCAAGGTTGGAGGTTCAAAGGCACCCAGCGGCACCACAGAACGACAGGCCTGTTGCTCTGGTGCCATTCAGCTCCCGGCCGAGGAAACCCAGGCGCAGTTCTACTCTGTAACACAAGGGGCGTGGATACCGTCGGAGTCAACTCAGCGGCAGCGAGCACGGAACATGCCTCAGCTTCACACACTGCTATCTGCTGGGTTTCTTCGCCACACATCAAGGCTGAAGTTGTTTTTCTGCTTGTTTTGTTTTCGAGACTCCTCAATTTTATAAATAAATATAAATTTCATTACTGTGACGTTAAAGTGATCTAAAACCACTTCTAAAATGTATGACAAGTTTTCATTTAAATCTATTAAGAAGCTGTGTGTCAAATGCTAAGGAACAGAAGATTTATAGGACACTTAACTGAAAGAATTGGGGCATGGGGATGGGGGGGAGGGGGGAGGGGGGCAGGCGTAATGTTAAATGCTTTATATCTGGTGTCCATACGCGGATCTATGTGCGCTGGTATTTAGGATGAGAGAAGAGAGAAAGAAGCTGTGCTTCACAGCCGAGCTGCATTTTCTGGCCGGCATGGCGGGTTATAAACAGCCAGGATTGGAAACCTTGACAGCACCTTCACTTCCAGTGGGAGAGTAGTGGGGGGGCTGCCAGCGAACTTGCTTCCAAGAAAAATAACAGCAGCAGTCATGCAGATGTTGATTTGCTTGAACTAAGATCTTTTTCCGAAGAGGCTGTAAACAGTAAGAATCTGCCAGAGTTCAAGCGGATGACTCAGGTCTGAAGGCCAAGTCAACAAGTTGTCACTCAGACTCGTCCAGTACTGGCTCATATGGGTGGGGGGATTCAGTTGTTCATTCTCTCTCTCCCCCTCTTTCTCTCTCCTCCCCCACATTAACCTTTTCTGGTTAACCTTTTAACAACTTTACATGACACCAAAATTTACAATATAATTCTCTCTCCTACATCTGTCCTCCAGCTACTCCCAAACCCTCATTAGTACAACAAAAGACAAAAGCTAACAGCTAAAGAATGATGATGAAACTGTGTTAACATCCCAGGGCATGGATGGATTTGGAAAATATTATGCCGAGTGGAGTTAATCAATCACAGAAGGACAAATATTGTAATGGGCCACTGTCCTAAAAGAAAAAAAAAATCAAAACAAAGGTTTTCATCCCCAAAGAAACAGACTTAGATGATTACCAAGAGTGAGAGGAAAAGGGAGAGGGCAGGGGGGAAGAGCAATAGGCTACACGGTGGACAGGTATTAACTTGACAGGTATTAACTTGGGTAAAGGGGAGGTGGTATTCCACCAGAGAGAGAGAGAGAGAGAGAGAGAGCGGGCGGCCAGGGCAAACTATTTGTGGGGTTGATAAGTTGTTAGGTTGTTGAATACAAAAATGATGATCTGAAATTTAAGTACCCAACTAACTCACAGTAAAAAGGGTTTTTATTCTTAAAGCTAACAACAGGGAAATTATGCATTAAAAAAAAGACTGAAAAACAAAATGATAGGAAATGGGTGCAAAATTTTATATTGAGATTCCTAGCAGTCAAGCCAAAAGAGAAAACTCGATGGAAAAAATTTAGCTACCCTTGACGTCTAATCTGGGGCACAGTGCTCACTCAAAGAGGCAAGCCCTTCTCCTCTTTATGTGCGGGATAGAATTTGTTTTGACTTTTAAGATCTTTGTAACAGTTATATTATACAACTGAATGAACTAAGCCCTTTATTATACATATAAACATGTGTATACATATATACACACATAATTGCTATAGTAAAATTATAATTATTCTATTGATTATAAAAATTATATCTATAATTTTAAAAATCTACATGTGACCATTTTGTTTTGTAGCCTCCTTTATGAATTCATATTCAACCATCTGGAACATTTCTGTGCATTTCCACCACTGGTCCCCAACCACGTCTGGGATCCTGGATGTAAACAGGACTTTCTTTTTTTTTTTGGCAGGGGGGTGGGGCACATACATTGGTGGCAACTGGATGAACATGGGAATAAACGAAGTTGAAGTAGAACCATGAAGCAGTTGCTATGGGAAACAGTAGCAATAATCGGTAGCTGATGCCAGAACATAGAAAACTATGAGTAATATTCTCAAACAAACTTAGAAAGTCAATCTTTTAAAAAAATCTTCTGTAGAAACAGAAGAGACAAGCTCTGAGTGCTAACCCTTCCTTTGATCTCTACTTGCACCCTTCCCTTTGTGCCCAGGGCTCGTCCCACCAGCCCCACAATGTCCTACACCCCATTAAACTCAAACTCAGGAAGTGCAGTGTGGAAGAGGGTCTCCCCAGCCCCTTTCATCATGGCTCCTACCCTCCACCCTGGTTTCCACTCATCTGAAATCACCTCCAAAAGACCTTTCCTAAGTGTTCTTGACCTTTGTACTTTCCTTCCACCACCAGCCCTTCTGCTCGCCCTCCACGTTATTTTGCTAGGGGTTGACTGTGTCCTTCCAAAACACGTGCTGTGACTCCTAATGGCTACACCTGTAATTAGAATCCTTCATGGGAATGGCTTGCTTTGGTCGTGTTACTAAGGTGCGATTGGTGTAGGGTTCGTTTTAAGTCAATCTCTTATGAGATATAAAAGAGATCAGACAAGCAAGCAAGCATGCAGAGAGGAGGGCAGACAACTGCCAGGCTATGAGAAGATCACCCAGGGGCAGAAGCTGAAAGAGGACGAGGCCCTGCCTGCAGGTATCACAGAGAGAGAGAGAGAGAATGCCTTCCCTTAGAGCCAGCACTCAGAATTTGGACTGCTAGCTTCCTAAACTGATGATAGATGATAGATAGATAGATAGATAGATAGATAGATAGATAGATAGATAGATAGATAGATAGATAGAGCCCTATTTTCTAAAGTCACCATCTGTGGAATTTCTATTCTAGAGCAGCACTCCATAACCAAGATTCGCTACTTCGTTGTCTTCACCACACTTAGGACCAACTGCAAATACAGGATTTAGTAGTAGTGATGGCCTGCCTCTTCTTCTCAAAGTTCAACTCCCTCAGCAGCAATGACTTTGCTATGTCCACGGCTCCACTGTTCCTCCTGCCGACATGACTGCAGACGGAGTCGGTGAACAACACCCAGAGACTGGAGAGATAGATGGATGAACAGGTAGGTGATAAGAAATCTATGCATAGATGCAAATGCTTGTAGAGATATGCAACTTAGCATACAAGGATGAGGGCTCTCAAGTGCATCACTTTATAGAATCCTTCATGGAGAAACACACGCTTCAACAAACCCTAAGGGGAAAATGTATTGTAAAGCTCGGAGGCCGGCACAGGAAGACAGGGCAGATTTGCACAAGGAGAGAAAGAAGAAAACCTTTGAAAAATCTCACCTTGAAAAGGTAGAAATAAACTTGTTTGGTATCTGCATCTTCTTCCTTGTGGACACAGGTAAAAAGATATTCCACATCCAGCACTATTCCCAGGAGTCTGTTCATTTCTTCCTCTGACACATTCTCCAGGTGGGAAACATGAGCAGCTTATGGCAAAGAGCAAAGGAACACATGTAAGAAGTCAGCCAGCAGCCAGAACGTTCTTCTCAATACAGTGTTCTCATCAATCCACTAAGCCTGGGTTGTAAACAAAAGAGGACGTGTTTGAGTCCGAGTAAGATCAAAGTTCTCTCATAACATGTACTTGCAATTAAGAGATGGACACGTTGGTGAGGCTGATACTCACCCCGTCCAACATCCAAAGACTGGGCCAGCGGCTACTGCGTTCTAATGCTGCCTATTTAAGAGCAGGGCCTGGTGGGACCCAATCTGACCATGAGAGTGTTCAGCTCTTCCATGTCTCCACGTAAGCAAATGAGCTACCCTTACAGAAGGAACTGTGATTCTAGCGATGACTTGTACATGTTTGGGGTCTACGGTTCAGTAGTGCAAAAGTCCAAGCCCCCTGACTGTTGAGTCCTAAGGCTTATCAACAGCCCAGTCTGCCAAAAGTAGGGTAAAGATTTAGTGTAAAGACTGAGACCCCTTGCCTCAGCCTTTCTGATCGAAACATATAAAACCCCACCATCTCGGCAGCAATGTCTAAATGGTAATTGTCCTCCATGGTCAAGCCCCTAACCCTCCCTCTCACTTTGTTGTGAAGTGCTAGTGTAGTTCAAATGCACTAACCACCCACCCTCTTCTCGAAACCAGTTCTCTTTCCAATTCCAATTCATTCTGTTTTTCCAGGTTACCGCTACTCATCCTCACACAATTCCTTAAAACAGGTACAGGCATTCCATCGTATGCATATCTGTCTTATGTATAATTTGTACTTACAAACAAGCCCCTGGTAAAGCTTATTATACAGGTACATGCTGCTTAATGTCCAACGACATATATATACATCCACAGTCCCATAAGGAGTCCCTGCTCCCAAGGGAAAGGCAGCTCTCCTTTTGCATGTTATTCTCCTCTCTTGTTGTTTTCATTGCTAAGTGCCACTGACTCGGTTCTGACCCATAGACACCCTATGTACAACGGAACGAAACACTGCCCGGGCTGGCACCGTCTTCACCATGGTTCTTAGGCTGGAGCCCATTGTTGCAGCCACTCTCGGTCAACCCATCTCCTTGAGGGCTTTCTTCTTTTCCGCTGCCCCTCTACCTTACCAAGCACGATGCCCTTCTCCAGGGGCTGGTCTCTCCTGACAACATGTCCCAAGTAGGGGGGACAAAATCTCACCATCCTTGCTCTAAGGAGTATTCTGGCTGTACTTCTTCCAAGACAGGTTTGTTTCTTTGGGCATTCCATGGGACTCTCAATATCCTTTGTCAGCACTCAAAGTCCAAAAGCACGGATTCTTCTTTGCCTTTCCTTATTCAATGTTCAACATGCACAGGCATATGAGGCAATTGAAAATACAAAACAAAACAAAAAATACCATGGCTTGGGTCAAGTGCACCCTAAGTCCTCAAAGTAATCTCCTTGCTTTTCAACACTTCAAAGAGATCTTTAGAGTACAGTAGATTCACTCAATGCAATACATCACTTGATCTCTTGACGGCTAGAGGACACGAGGGGAACGTACGGGCACGACTGGAAGAGATCCCCATTGGTGCCCATAGTTTCCTCCAGTGGGTTGTACAGGAACCCTGTTGGCGCAGTGGGTTAAGCACTGAGCTGCGTACTGAAGGACAGTTGTTTGAACCCAGCAGTTGTTCGGCAGGAAAAATTGAGAGGCAGTTTGCTTCCCTGAAGGATCAATGGCCCCGGAAACCCTACGGAGCAGTTCTACGGTGTTCTATAGTGGCTGTGGAATCGACCTGAAGGCAGTGGGGCTGGGTAGTGGGCTTAGAGATCCCAAGTGAAGACTGGCAGCACCGGGTCACACGGGTGGGGCTGGAAGGGCGGGGAATGGGGACAGGCAAGTGAGATAGTGTGGACTCTTAGCTTTGTACTGCAGCCAGACCGGGCGCACGGCCTGCTCCGGATGCTCAGGTGGAGGGAGCGGCAGGCAGCACTGGGAACATTCCCTCCCCTCCCTCCTTGTTTCCTGCCTCTGCTCCAACCACTGTGCAAGCGCCACAGCTGCTCCGCCATCACCCACTCCGCCAGCTCGGTCAGCAGCGCCAGCTCCAGCAATTGGGATGACTGGACGTGGCTTCCAGTAAGGTTTTAATATAGTGTTCACATCACATCCAAAGCATATGGTGTCCAACTTCCTAGTACATATCGTGCACACGCAGCCACACATACCCGTATTAAAACTTTGAGGCACATACAATGGGGTGTACCAACAATCTGTGTGTAACAGACAGACACTACTTGGCATCTCACCTCATATTATTATTATTATTCCTCTATTATAATATAAAAGATGGCTGAGTGTATCCAGAAGTGTTTGTTTTGCACAGAGACTACACTAATACATGCTAATACAAACATCTGACTGGCTGGCATTTGAGAGAAACTATACAAAACTGTTCCAACTTACTAACAAATTCAACGTAAGAGACAGATTTAGAAACAGAATTGGTTCATCATCCAGGGATTGCCTACATTTGAGTCACCACAAATCACACAACACGGTCTGGTTTTGTTTTTGCCACATCTTGTCATGAGTAATGTGTACTACATACAATACTTAAATATGTCTGAAAGTTTGTATGCAAAGTTTACAACTCCCAAAGACAAATACGGGCCAGATATAGAGACACTGATAAGCAAGGCAAGAGTAATGAATTACTTTTCAAATGAGGTGTTCAACCTGCGTCAGACCGACTTGCAACACAATTGTCAGAGCAGAGCTCAGTCGTAAATCATCCCCTAGCTGTATTCGTAATCTGATTCGACCCGTGAAGAGCCTGGGGCTCAGAAAGATTGAGTCATGTGTCATCAAAGACCACTCCGCCACAAGAGTGGTGGAAGAGTCTAGTTTATCTATCTCTCAGTTTTTTGTGTCTGCCAAATCCACGAGCTAATCTCCCCCTCAGACCTGGCCACTGAGAAAGCAGACAATAAAAATTAAAACAAACAGAACAGTTGGCTCTAGGTCTTAAAGCACTCGTAAACTTTAAGCAACTGATGTGTTTTTATTGATTCGTTCCTTTCAAATCACTTCTCACTGGGACAGGGCTCTCTATAATACATTCATCACCACTAGCCAAGGAGTTGATCTGGAGCAGGGATGGGCAAATGTTTGAGACGGAAAGGTCAATCCTGTTGCTCACAATAATTTAAGAAGTATTCGAGCACCATGAGTATATTTTTACAACCAAATGAAATCAGCACTATCTGAATAATCTTTCAAAAAAATTTTTTTTAACTTTATTTGAGAGGCACACATTCGTACCAGAGCAGCTACCCACATATGGCTGGAGAGCTGCAGTGTCGACCCGGCTCTGGTGAGATCATGTCTTTCCTCTCTGTGCCTGTAGCAACTGGCACTGTTTGTCACGTAACGGAGGCCCGTGTTCCATCAGCTCACAGCCTGGAAAACCCTGCGGGACAGTTCACCTGGGTCACATGGGTCGGTCTGGGTGAGAATGGAGCCAGAGGCAGAGTTGACTCGATGGAAGTGAGTAACAATAGCAACTTCAAGGCGAGTCCTCTTAAACTGCACAGATTTTCACATTCTTGTGGGCTCCAGATTTTCTGGAGCCATGGAGGCTGAATGAACCCCCCATGCAAATTATATATATATATATATATATCTGCAATAATCTTTTAATCTCCGTTTAGTTCAATTAGTAAAGACTATCTGCCTAGAGGATTATGCTCTTTTAAGAACTATATCTGTGGAATCAAAGCGACAACAGCAATCTGAAAGGTTAAATAGGAATCTCGGGAGGCAGTGAGTTTATATGAATGCCAGAGGAACAACTCAGACAAGGAGGGTGGGATGGCTGGCACAACTCAATGCGACCAATGTCACTACATTGTACAGGTAGATACGGTTGGATCGGTGTATGTTTTGCAATCACAGCAAAAAGTAAATGATTTACAAAGGAAAAAAAAAAGAAAATCAATCCTATTGTGTGCAGCTCTTGGAAGGTCAGCTTAGAAATGCTTGACCACAGAAATACTTGAGATGGTTTTTAAAGAAATTCTAAAGTATGTCAAAGAAGGGTGGAAGAGTCTAATACATCTCTCAGCTTTTTGCCTTCACCTAATTCATGAGCTAATCTCCTCCCTCAAACTTAAATCTTTCCCACATCCTACCTTGCAACCTCCTCATCATGGAAACTGGATGCTAAGGCTGACCTCCCATAGCGCCCCTCAAAATGGCACCTCCCCTTTGCAAGTCCTATTCCTCCCAAGGAGCTCATTATTCTTTCTTCCTTTTTCTTATGGCCTACACCTTACTGAGGAAGCGCAGCTTCTCTCTCAAAGCCACAACGTCTTCCCCTCCCCCTGAGACAGCCCTCACACAGTTCATTTTGAAGTCAAAGCAGGCTTTCTAAAAGAACCGCATTCCCCACCAAATCTATAAATTGTTCCTGCCTCTTTGGCCTGCTATAGAAAACTAGAACTATTAACTTACCCTGTGGTTACTCAGGGATTCACAATCAACCCTAGCACATGCTCAGAGCGGCTTGCAAGGCAGCCTCCTGTAGCTGCAACATAAACGACTTTGCTGTATTGATTCTCAACTCGCCAAAACCCAAAACCCACTGTTCAGTCAATTCTGACTCACAGCAACCCTATATAAGGCTATACATCTTTAGGGGAGTATACTGCTTCATCTTTCAGCGACGGTGTGCTTGGTGGGTTTGAACTACTGACCTGGCGATTAGCAGTCCCACACGACTAGGACTCCGTTAAACCAAAAAGGATCACTCACTATGAAATGAAACCCCTTCTTCATACTGTATTAAAGGGCCCTCTAAGGCAAGTAGGCGATCTTCAATCATCTAATTATCTTTCTGAAACAGGTTTCAGTGTTAGGCACCATCAAGTCAATTCCAGCTCATTGTGACTCGAAGTGACTGAATGTAATGGCCCATAGGGTCTTCTTGGTTGTAATATTTACAAGAGCAGCCAG